CTGAACCTTACCTCCACAAGTAAGATGAAGATGCACTCGGTCAACCACATATGGTTATCAAGTTGCACCCAAGCACTATGGTACGTTGGACCTATAAAGATGAACTGATTGACTATCCAACAATGATAGTCAATTGGTAATACAAAAAACAGTTTAGGGAAGCCTAGGTCAACTTTACAAAAAGGCACTAGAAAACCTATGCATGCTAAGCAAAAGGAGTGTAAGGTTTCCTTCCATGTACAACAAATCCTACATACATTATACATGTAGAAAAGACCTAAGGGGAATGGTACAAAATCCAAATTAAAGGGGTGGACTATCTTCCACTTAGCTTTGGCATTGAGTTCCATGAAAGACAAGTGGAAGATAGTTGACAAAAACTCTCCAGATGGAGTTGTATTTGCTGCTGCTGTCTGGTGTAGTTGACAGAAAAGAGTGAGCCAAAGAAGGAGCCTCTTCCAGATACAAAAGGCCAGCCTGAAACTGCTGTTGCTTGAACATCTGATGCCTCCTGTTGGATGCTTAAATATTCCTGTTGGATTGTCTGGGTGATGGCCTGTAGTTGTGGATGTTGGGCCTGCATATCTGTGAGTATGTAGATGAGGGGAGGGACTTGTATCAACTGATACTTTTTCAACAGAATGAGCATTAAAAATGCTAATACCACTGACTGAAATTGTACCAGTTAACCAAGTGAAATCCCTGTACCTGCAAAAGACAAAAAACCTGTTAGTGAGAGGGAGCTCAATCTCCAGGTTCTTGTGGATTCTGGAGATGAGTCTGGGGAGAGGGGAGCATTTGGGATCCCTGATCTATACAAACAAACTGAGTGCAGGTTCTTGTGTTGACTGCACTCAGTTGTATAGTTGCTCATGTTGGTGAAAAACTGGGGTGAGGAAGAAGTGCTGTAGGTAAGTGAGAAACTGCAGTTCTGATGGGAGCACTTTGGTTGGTGTAGTTGTTTGGATTGGGAGTGGGATTTAAGAAGGAGGGGTGAGTTGGTATTGGTAATAGGAGCAGGCAGAGAAATTCCTACAGGTTCTGTACTTCCTGCAAATTCTGCAGTTTCTGTATCTGAGTGGATGTGGGGTTGAAGCCTGGGTGTGAATTGGTTTGGTTTTTTGGATTTGGGGTGTGATTTGGGGCAGAGGGATATGTTGCAATAAGGTATAGCAACTGAATGAGGAGTTGCTATAATTTCTGCAGTTTCAGTAATTGAAACTGCAATTTTCTGTTTTTTCTGTTGCATCTGTGTGTTGGTGTTTCTGGAGGGGTGGTGCTTGGGTGTCATTTGGTATGGTTCCAGGAGATTGAACCTTAAGTTTGTCATTCCCTGAGATCATTCCATATGAGGAACTTGAGGATGAGATAACAAACCTGCAAAAAAGAGAACAGTGTTAGTCAAAAGTTGAGCATTTCTGCTCAGTTTTCTGAAACTGTTAATTTTGTGATGTTTTTCTGAGTGTGCAGTGTTAGGATGGCAGAGAAACTGGGTGAATGCACATCTGGACGGTAGTACCCTTTGGTCATGGTAGGGTGACTGCAAGGTTATATCTGGTGGTTTGGAGTGGTGGGTTGAGAAGAACTGGGGTGCTACTTTGTGGGAATGGGGGGGTGTATGTGCTGTGTTGTGCCCCAGCGTGTATAGTGGAACGTGGATTCCCAGGTAGTTCAAGTTTTCTTTTCCTTCATATCCTACTTGAGTCCAATGTTGTGAGTTCAGGAGAATGAGCATAAATACTAATACCACACCCTGACTAAACAACATTGAGATTGGTAGTTCATTGAGGAGGCTTTCCTGCAATAAAGAAAACACTGTTAGGGAAAAATTGGTCCAGAAATTCCACAGCTGTGTGAACTGTTGGTGTGCTGCATGAAGTGCTGAACTGTTGAACCTGAGGCTGCTGAGGCACCTTTAATGGGATGATGATCTATCATGGGCATAAGGGCTGTCTGTGAGGAGGTGTGGTGGGAAGATGACTTTGTTTGTCTTTTTGTGTCTGAAAGAAGGGGTGCCCCTTTGATCCAGAATTACCTGACCCTTATATGAGCTGGGAGTTCCATTTGATTATTGAAGTGAGTCAAAGAGGTGAGGCCATGGCTGAGTTTAGAGAGGGAATCAGCAGGACAGTTGGCTTCTCTAAAAACATGTGAGTATTTGATGTCCTCACAATGTTGATTCATGGCTTTGATTTTCTGGAGTTAGATGGTTAGGGACCAGGGGGGTTCAGAGTTGGTGGTAAGCCAAAGAATGAGGAGATTGGAATCAGCTTCCAGGTGGATTTTGGAGAAGCCATGATCAATGCACCATTTGATGCCAATGTATGCAGCTTCAGTTTCTGCTTGGTTATTGGTACCAATACCAAGGGGACTTGCAATTGCATGGATGAACTGTCCTTCATGATCCCTGATAATGATGCCTGCTCCAATTTTCCCAGGGTTATCAAGGGCGCTGCCATCTGAATTCACTTTGACATAACTATGGCTTGGCCTCCTCCATATAACCTGTTGCACTGAAATGTGATGCTGCAGGTCTTCAGTGATCTGATAAATTTCAATCCAATTGGATGGCCATTTTACATTGGTGTATGATGTTCTGAGTAGCATGAGGAGATCAGAGGTGATGGAGAACAGAGTTCTGCTAACAGATGATGCTTTCGCTCCATACTTGGCAGCACATCTGTTTTTCCACAAGTTCCAGATGATTATGATGGGCATGGTATTTAGGAGGAGCTTCTGCACTTCATTCTTCCCTATTTGAATCCACCAATTCATCAAGGTGATTCTAAGAGATTGCATGGAGCTTTGGCTTCCAACAGGTGCATTAAAGTGTTTCCAAATGATCCTGGCAAAGTTTCCAGTACTGAATATATGCTCAATTGTCTTTGCAGAATGATTGGAGCAGCAGACACATCTGTTGACAGTAGGAGGCCCAAACCTAGCCACTCTGTTATCTGTGGGCAGTTTGTTCCTTAGTGCCCCCCATAAGCAGAATGACCATTTGAAGGGAATGTGATTATGCCATGTCATTTTGTTGGTCACTGAGACAGTTTTCTTTTCTCTAATCACTGACCAAGCAGAACCACAGGTGAAATTCCCAGAAGTGGTGGGTTGCCAGATTGCTTTGTCAGGAATATGGGGATTGTACTATATCTGAACTTGGAGGATGAGGGGGATCATGTGCATGGGAGCTACTTGATGAAGTTTCTGAATATCCCATTGCCCATCAGACCAGAAATAAGATACTTTCACCTTGCCAGGTCTGCCACTACTGTGTCTGAAGCTTGCTAGATGTCCAGTACCTAGCCAATTATCCCACCAGAAGCTTGAATTTCCTGAGTGAAGTCTCCATTGAATGTGAGCCTTAACTTCTGTTCTGTTGCCCTTCATTATTCTCCATTTATGAGATTGCCCAGAGTCCCATTTTTGGATATGGGATGCGATCTCTTGCAGTATTTAGCAAGTAAAAAATCACTCCAAAGGGTCTTCATAGTTCTGAACCACCACCATTGTTTGAACTCCATAGCTCTACATACATCTTCAATGGACCTCAAGCCAATGCCTCCTTCCTCTTTTGGATGGGATAGTTTGTACCAAGAAGCCCAGTGGTACTTGTTTCTTTCCTTATCTATTCCCCAGAAGAAGTTGGCTGCCAATTTTTCAATCTGCTTGAGGACAGTCTTTGGAGGTGTAATAGCTGATAGCAGATGGATTGGAAGGGATTGCAAAACATGTTTGATCAAAGTCATTCTTCCCCCATATGATAGTAATCTCCCATGCCATCCCCTGATCCTACTGACTACTTTGGATACCAGGCAATTGAAATGAGCAATCCTTTTCCTGGCAGTATATAGAGGGCATCCAAGGTAGGTAATGGGGGAGTCTCTCTTAGTGAAGCCAGTAACTTGCTGAATTCTTCTGTTGGTGTGATAAAGGGTAGATGGAGCAGTCATGAAGTGGCTTTTATGCTTGTTGATCTGTTGACCAGACACTTGCTCATAGTCATGGAGGATCTTCATAATCTTCCTGAGTGAGGTTCTGCAACCAGAGGTAAAAATGATATGTGTAATTTGGGGGCCATTTTTCTCCATGTAGAAACCATTGAAGAACTGGTCATGGGTGAGGTTGTTAAGCATTCTTGAGAGAAGCTCTGGCCCCATAATGAATAGAGAGGGAGCCAATGGATCTCCTTGTTTGAGGCCTCTTGTAGAATGAAAGAATCCACACCTGGTTCCATTGATAATCACTGAATACCAATTGTTGGACAAAGTTCTCCACATCATATCAATTATTTTCTCACTGAAGCCCAATCTTCTCATCATGATCCCCTTCTAGTGTGCCCCAATCTACTTCACTGTCTTCTTTGTTGCATGCTATATACCCCCTTAGGATCCCCTTCTAGTGTGCCCCAATGTGACTATGTTTCACTGATCCCTGGCATGCACCTTCCTGTATGAAGTAATTGGCTATCCTACGCCTATTGATTCTGTATTAACTCTAAAGTTCATGCTACTTTAAATGCCTTGACCCCTTTTAAGGCTCCTCTGATTCTGTACCTATGTGCATCTGTGCTTACTATGTGCCCCATGCTTACCCCAAATCCCCATTACCCCTAAGTGGATGTGTGCACCTGTTTGACTCCATGTATTGAAGTGCTGATGAACTTCTTCGGGTTCGGTATTTGGTTTGATTGATTGTTAGCCACCTTACCTTTTTTTAAATTGTCTTATTTAATAACTCCCTATGTGTTTTCTTNATTTCCAGGTACATATTCTTGAGATTAACTTGATGTATCATTGAGTTGGAATATTGAAATGAAGGCCCATTTGCTTACCTCTTGAGATGTGTGTTCAAGTTATCTTGCTAGGGTAGATACTCATGGATGTACATTTGTTAAGCCTGCTTTAAATTTGTGTTTACATTGTAAACCTTGGACTGTATAACTGGACTGTATAACTGGACTGTACATATGGACTGTGCAATGAGTTTTATTCTGATTATAGCGATTCACATGCTAGAATCTAATGTCTACTTTCTGCGGTTAATGACATGATTGGACTGTTTAGTTTTGAGCTGAAATTTGTATGAACTGTAAAAGCTATGAACGTTCATATTACTTGGTTGTAACCTTTTGTGATGATTCATGTTGGTAGGCCAATAGAGTTCGAAATAGTATTTTAAAACCGGCCAATGATAAGTGTCAAATTAGCTCTTGGGAATCTGTTAGTTTAAAATAGGATCCACGCATTAGAAATATCAAAGACCTGCGATTATCTACAAGCCTGGGCACAAACTATAATTAAAGCAAGATGATACTAATTAGTTGCAAGTTATTTAGTGTAGATTCAGCATATCTCATATTTAATTGATTTTGTTCTCGTATGACTTAAGGCCAGTGGCTGAGTTTTTTCACAATTTGAGCTTCGACACAGGCCCAGGTTTAAAGTAGTGTCTTTGTGCCCAAGTTTGGGCCAAACCAACAGCCCAACCATGACAAGGATACTAAGTCGGGCTTGTCTCCAGGCTAGGCTGATTTAGCAATTAGTAATATCTCCTTATTGGGCTTACTACAAGGCCCATGCCTGGACAGCAACTATTTATTGAACATTGCCTGCTTTAAGGCCCACAAACTCAAACGTTTCCTTGGGTACTTTGTTCAACGTCTATGTGAGTATCTTGGCAATAATACACGGACATACTAATTGATTGGGGCCTTCTCTTATTAGTAGAATACTTAATAGTGTTTCTCAAATTTCTCAAGGTCACTAAGCAAATAGATCGCGGGTCCCTTGACAAATGCTTAAGTTAAATGTTTAGACTCCGGGATAGGTCGTTTAGCGAATTTCACGACCTTCCCCAAAAACAATAAAATATGTAGTGGCTTTAGGTGCGTACTTTAATAATATCACTTTCCTGAATTCGGGTGCACATTTATGTGACCCAAATCCAAATCTCAACGTAGTCAAAGTGTGTTAACAATCACGGGTGCACTGGTGCGACGTGGTTCGAGATGCATTTTCACAGCGTTGCAATTCTTAAAAATAAAAATGAACGCGGTTTACTAGTAAAAGCACATGGGACATAACATGTTTTGAAATCAGATAAAATCAAATACAACAGTTGAGCGACCGTGCTAGAACCACGGAACCCGGGAATGCTTAACACCTTCTCCCGGGTTAACAGAATTCCTTACCTGGATTTCTGGCTCGCGGACTGATAACAGAGTCATAATCTCCTCGGGTCGGGATCTAACCGGTGACTTGGGACACCACTAATTTCCTAAGTGGCGACTCTGAAAATTTAATAATAAATCCCGTTCCGATTGTCACTTCAAGTTGGAAATAACTCCCTTTATTATATTGTACTATAAAAGGAGGTGTGACACATGGAGCTTTGGATTCCAACAGGTGCATTAAAGTGCTTCCAAATGATCCTGGCAAAGTTTCCAGTACTGAATATATGCTCAATTGTCTCTACAGAATAATTGGAGCAGCAGACACATCTGTTGACAGTAAGAGGCCCAAGCCTAGCCATTCTGTCATCTGTGGGCAGTTTGTTCCTTAGTGCCCTCCATAAGCAAAATGACCATTTGAAGGGAATGTGATTATGCCATGTCATTTTGTTGGTCATTGAGACAGTTTTCTTAACTCTAATCACTGACCAAGCAGAACCACAGGTGAAATTCCCAGAAGTGGTAGGTTGCCAGATTGCTTTGTCAGGAGTGTGGGGATTATAGTAGATCTGAACTTGGAGGATGAGGGGGATCATGTGCATGGGAGCTACTTGATGAAGTTTCTGAATATCCCATTGCCCATCAGACCAGAAATAAGATACTTTCACCTTGCCAGGTCTGCCACTACTGTGTCTGAAGCTTGCTAGATGTCCAGTACCTAGCCAATTATCCCAGCAGAAGCTTGAATTTCCTGAGTGAAGTCTCCATTGAATGTGAGCCTCAGCTTCTGTTCTGTTGCACTTCATTCTTCTCCATGTATGAGATTGCCCAGAGTCCCATTTTTTGGATATGGGATGAGATCTCTTGCAGTATTTAGCAAGTAAAAAATCACTCCAAAGGGTCTTCTTAGTTCTGAACCACCACCATTGTTTGAACTCCATAGCTCTACATACATCTTCAATGGACCTCAAGCCAATGCCTCCTTCCTCTTTTGGATGGGATAGTTTGTACCAAGAAGCCCAGTGGTACTTGTTTCTTTCCTTATCTATTCCCCAGAAGAAGTTGGCTGCCAATTTTTCAATCTGCTTGAGGACAGTCTTTGGAGGTGTAATAGCTGATAGCAGATGGATTGGAAGGGATTGCAAAACATGTTTGATCAAAGTCNACATGTTTGATCAAAGTCATTCTTCCCCCACTATGATAGTAATCTCCCATGCCATCCCCTGATCCTACTGACTACTTTGGATACCAGGCAATTGAAATGAGCAATCCTTTTCCTGGCAGTATATAGAGGGCATCCAAGGTAGGTAATGGGGGAGTCTCTCTTAGTGAAGCCAGTAACTTGCTGAATTCTTCTGTTGGTGTGATAAAGGGTAGATGGAGCAGTCATGAAGTGGCTTTTATGCTTGTTGATCTGTTGACCAGACACTTGCTCATAGTCATGGAGGATCTTCATAATCTTCCTGAGTGAGGTTTCTGCAACCAGAGGTAAAAATGATATGTGTAATTTGGGGGCCATTTTTCTCCATGTAGAAACCATTGAAGAACTGGTCATGGGTGAGGTTGTTAAGCATTCTTGAGAGAAGCTCTGGCCCCATAATGAATAGAGAGGGAGCCAATGGATCTCCTTGTTTGAGGCCTCTTGTAGAATGAAAGAATCCACACCTGGTTCCATTGATAATCACTGAATACCAATTGTTGGACAAAGTTCTCCACACCATATCAATTATTTTCTCACTGAAGCCCAATCTTCTCATCATGATCCCCTTCTAGTGTGCCCCAATCTACTTCACTGTCTTCTTTGTTGCATGCTATATACCCCCTTAGGATCCCCTTCTAGTGTGCCCCAATGTGACTATGTTTCACTGATCCCTGGCATGCACCTTCCTGTATGAAGTAATTGGCTATCCTACGCCTATTGATTCTGTATTAACTCTAAAGTTCATGCTACTTTAAATGCCTTGACCCCTTTTAAGGCTCCTCTGATTCTGTACCTATGTGCATCTGTGCTTACTATGTGCCCCATGCTTACCCCAAATCCCCATTACCCCTAAGTGGATGTGTGCACCTGTTTGACTCCATGTATTGAAGTGCTGATGAACTTCTTCGGGTTCGGTATTTGGTTTGATTGATTGTTAGCCACCTTACCTTTTTTTAAATTGTCTTATTTAATAACTCCCTATGTGTTTTCTTACAAAACTATTTCAAGAAAATCTCT